CGGCTGGGCGGCGCCATCGCTGGCTGCGCCTGAGCGCTGTCCCACGCTGTTGTTTTGTGTTGGTGTGCCGGACGAGATGACGATCGGCTCGTCTGATTGTGCAGATGCATTTGTCGGTGCGTGTGGTGGCGGTGGAGTGTTCATCGTTGATTGCTGACGCGCGGAGTCACGTTCCGCCGTGAGCGTCCCAATTTCGAGCGCCGAATCTTCAAGTTGGCGCACCAGACGGTCGAGCTGCTCCTGCGTCAATGTGGCGAGCGTGAATTCGGCCATGGCGGGGGTGTCGGGCGAGTTCAGCGAGAGCCTCGGTCGTGGTCGTGCGTGCTTACGAGAGAGCACTACGAGCGGCGGTGCTGTGTCGCTGAGAGACGTCTACCCCCCCCAAAAATTGAGATAGTGGGGAAGCGAAGGTGTGGGTGCGGTCCGAGAGGAGATCGTAGGCTCTGAATACCAAGTGTTACGAGTGCAATTGAGTGAACGAACGAGAATTGCACTATCGAAGCAAGAGTACAATGAGCGAAGGCTTGAGCGAAGAATATATAGCGAAACTACAGTGGTAACGGTAATGGACTGTGGTTGTCGCGCGACGGGCCTGGGACTGAGGTTGGGAAAAAGTGTCGAAGCGGAGGCCCGGAGAGCGGGTTACCCGCCGAGCCGTGAGGTCGGGGTGCGATGTGCGAAGGTGGCGGGCGGATTTTTTTGTTTTGTTTTTTTTGTTTTAGAGGTGTAAATATATTATCAAATATAGATACATCCGCAGTCGTAACTGTATCTCTTGGAGGACCTCGGCCACGCCACGTGGGCGCCGCACTGTCCCCCTGTGACCTGCTACGGAGGTTGATGGAAAGTGCGCGGGTTGCGCCAGATGGAGAGGAAAGGAGCCGCCCAATTTGTTGGCCCACCATCCTCGCAAATCTTCTGTAGCTGCTTCCTCTCATCCGCAGCCACGTGATTCCAGTTGTCTGTCTTCCAGAAACTTCTCCCTTCCCCTGTCGCTGTCACACTTCCCCTTGCTGCCAGCACCACCCTCGCATGCGTCATAAAGTCCAGCACAGCACATCTCCCCACCTTCTTTCTTTCGAAAGGAGCTGCGCGCCACACTGCATTGCACCGCGCCAACCAGATCTGCCTAAGCAGCACCGCTGTCAACGTCATCTCTGGAAATTCTGACGCCGTGCCTTATCGCCAAACAGAAAGTCCCCCAGACAGTCCACCAACCTGCCCGGGTTCAGCATGTGCAATGACCGCTTAAGCGCGCCAATGACCGGTTGTATGATCGGGCAACTGTAGAGGCAATGTGCTAGGGTTTCCTCCTCTCCACAGTGCGCACACGCTATCTTGTTCCGGAGGAAATCCAGCCTTCCCCCAACCTGCAGGTTCATGCTGTGCACCCGTAGTAGGACATCCCTCGCCTTGTTCGGCACGTTGAGTCACGGGTCTCAATGACTTTCCGCCAGTCGATCTTTTTCTCCCACATGTCCTCCCACCCCGCTTGCCTCCAAGAACGCCCTTTCGACTTGGTTAGTGCAGCCCTTACACCACGTAACGGCACCAGCTCTCCCCCAGCAAAGAGCCCTGGTAGAGACAGCAACCTCACTTTTGGTTCTCCCACGGGGCCAAGCAGTTTTCCTTTCTGAACAGCCATCGGTTGTAGCCTGCACGCTTCGAAGCACGTCTTCTCCGTCCTCGCTTTTTCCTCTATCCTCCCGTCTGCACCGAGGGTCATGCTGGACGCGACCACCTTCGTGCCGTCCACCCCGACCACTGCCCACGGGAGTCTGGCCGGTTGCCCGTGCAGGATGTATCTCACCACTCCCGATGTTCTCACCACAGCTTTAGCCGACACCGGCTCCTCGACCAAGTTCTTCCATTCTGGCGGCATAGCCCCATACGCTTTCCTTGCCATGACCGCCGCCTCCTTGCTTCCTAGTTCAATCGTCAGCGCTTCTTCTTCCTTCACCCCCCTTCGTCCCCCTGGGCCGTCCGTGAGCAGGTCTCGAACGCGCGTGGTGACGAGGGCCGCCGTGCCTATCTGGTGACCGAAAGGGCTCTCCCCCCGATGCATGATGCTTCTGTTAAAACAAATAAACTCTTCTTCCACCTCCCACCTGCTCCTCGGTGCCGGCAGCGTCGCGAAAGGTGACTTCCAGAACACCTTTGCCGCCGCCTTCCACCGTTCACTACCGTGCTGCCACTGCTTTATCGCCGACGGGTGCGCGTACAACGTGGCCCACCCTTGCGGAAAGGCGGCCGCCTTCTCCGCTAACCACCGCCTTGCGCCCTCCGGTTCCCGCAGGAGCTTCCCCACTCTGCGGACAGCCAACCCGTCTAGACAGAGCTTCGGGTCGAGCTGACCCAGCCCCCCATCTTTCCGCGGAAGGCACGCCAGGTAGGCGCTCCAGAGGATGAAGATTTTCTCCTCCGCGTCCTCCCCCGCCGAGACAAAAGCGTGGCACAACTTCCTGATCTTCTCCCACAGCTCATCTGGCGGTGAGTACACCTGGGCCTGGAACATTAACACGGGCAGAACGTAGCAGCTGACCACCGCAATCCTTGCTGTCGTCGTGAGATACTGTGTCTCCCACTTCCTTAGCTCATCCTTAATCCTCTCGTACGCCTTTTCCCAGGATGGACTCGCGCTCCCGTTTGGCGTTATCCACACCCCCAAGAGCCTTTCCGACTCCTCTTTCTCCGACCACTTATACGGCATGTCCGGCGGCGCTGTCGTTCCTCTATTGCAACCCAGGGGAACCACCACCGACTTGTCGCAGTTGACTTTCAGACCCGACTGCTTGCCGAAAGTTTCCAATACTTCCACCACCTCCTTCAGCTGCCCCCCCCCCGTTTAGCAGGAAGGAGGTATCGTCTGCGTATCCGACATACGAGAGCGGCTCCGCCCCCGGCGGCCCCACTCCCAACTGCCTCCGTCGTGTAGCTCTGCACAGCGGCTCCAGCGCGCAAAGGAAAAGGTAAGGCGCAAGGGGGCACCCCTGCCTGACCCCCCTGTCCATCTCCACCTTTTCGCTCAGCCATCCGTTGATAATGACCCGCGTCCCCGCTTCCTCGTGCAAGCCCCGTGTCCAGTTGACGAAGTTCTCCGGCATGCCCAGCTCTTTCATGACTCTGAACAGGAAGGCCCGCGAGACCGTATCGTAAGCTTTCTGAAAATCGACCAGCAGTAGCAGCCAGTCCTCGCCGCCGCCGTTAGCCGCCTCAACTGCATCAGCCACCACCGACACCGCATCTGCCAGACTCTTCCCCGGTAAGAAGCCATGCTGTTCCACTGACAAGACCTTGCCCAGCACCTTTTTCAGCCTCGTCGCCATGATCTTCGTGACCAGCTTGTACATGACCGACAACAATGTTATGGGTCGATAATTCCCAAGCTGATCCGTCGCCCCCTTCTTGTGTAGTAAAACCGTCACAGCCGTCGAGACGCTTTCCGGCATCCTCGCCGACTCCGTAAATTCCTTAATGAAGCTCATCACGTGTCCCTTCAGGCTCTCCCAATGCAGGGTGAAGAACTCCGCCGGCAACCCGTCATGTCCCGGGGACTTCCCCTTAGGTAACCCCTCCAGCCCCTCTTTGACCTCAGCTTCTGTCCAGTCCGCAGCAAGTGACGCCGCGTCCATCGCCGAAAGCTTCGCCCCTTCTGAGAAGGCCGCCCAGTCCACTTCTTCCTCCGGTGGCACTTCCCTGAAAGCCGTCCTGAAATAGTCCGCTGCCGTTGACAGCACTTCTTTCGACCCCGTGTAAGTTCTCCCCTGGTAAGAGACCTCCCGTATCAACGTCCGTTTTTTCCGCACCTTGATCTTCGCTGAAAGGTAAGGTGATGGGACCTCCCCATTTAACTCCACCCTGATACCCGCCAGCACCTGCATCCTGTCCATGCAGCTCTACAGGTAGGCTTCCAGGTGCGCCTCCTTCCGCACCAACCTATTTTGCGCTCTCTTGTCCCCCGGATGCCTCATGACTTTGTGCCTTAGGCACTCCACTTCCTTCTCAAGGTGCACGATCGTCGCCTTCACCCTCTTTCGCTCTTCGCGTGAGTACTCCCTCAGGCCCGTACTGAGGAGCTTCAGTTTTTTCCCAAGGTCCATCCCCTCCGCTCCGACTTTGTGCAGTATCCGGGCCGTCACTGTGCTGACCCATATCCTTTGTGCCTGTCTCGCATGCATCCTCCATATTCCAGGCCCTTGATCCCCGTGCTCTACTACCGCCAGCGCCACCTTGACGCCGAACCAGTGGTCCGACAATCCCCTTGGTATCTTGACATGCCCCGCTTCTGTCAACATCCCAAGCAGCGAGAAGGATGTCAGGCACCGGTCAATACGCGTGCTCGCCCTTGTCGCCCTGTCCCGGAACGTGTACTCAGGCTTGTTCGGATGAAGCACACGGAAGGCATCCTTGAGGTCTGCCGCGCGCCAGAAGCTCAGGAGCCGTTGATTTTCATTTGCCGACCCCGACCTTGACGTCCGATCTAAGTCCGGGTCCTCCACCAAATTCAGATCCCCTATCACCACCAGGTGCGGTAAAACCGGCTGCGCCTGCACGAAAGGCGAGAGGCAGGCCCGGAAAAAGACCCCTCTGGCGCACGCCTGCGCCGGCAGATACATCGCAACCATCCTGAAAGTGGCCTGAGGGCAGGTAACCGTGACCCCCACCAACCTTCCGGACGGGTGCGTGATTACATCCGTAAACTTAATCTCCTCTTTAAAAGAAAGCACCGCAATACCTCCCGCTCTATCACTGTTTCCCACCACCGCCGTTGCTGATGGTTTAAGTTCTGTCAAGAAATTGTGATCTTCTTTAATCCTTGTGTCCGTCAACACCACCACATCCGCTACTGACTTAATCCACTGTTTGTGCTCCGTTCTTTTGCCGTTGCTTCCGAGGCCGTTGACATTGACCCCGCACAGGGTGATGTTACGGTTGTTACCCATTAATCCACTGGTACAAAGCCCCCTCGCATCCACGGGGTAGAGACAACAACAACGCTTCTACGTCCTGAACCGCCTGCACATTCGGTGAGAAATCTCGGCCCGACGGCTTCCTTGTAATGTGCTGCACCCACCAACCATCTCCTGGTCCGTCACAGTGCAACACAGTTGCTCCTTCGCACTCTACTTCTGCAGCCCAAATTCCTTACGGATCGGGATAAGATTCATCTTCCCCCTGCTCTTCCTGCTGGCAGAACCCCCCTGCAAGAGCGCTGTGCAGTGTTGGACCGACTTCACATGCTCCACAGCCTGGGTGAAGCTGGAGCCATGCGCCTTGCCACACGCCTCTTGGACACACAACCAATCCTCCCGACTTCCACCCGTGGACACCAACACCAAGGCGGGATCGCGCAAGATCTTCTTCACACGAGCGTCGAGCGGTAGAGACGCAGCTGCCCACGCAGGAAGCAATGCGGCCGTCAGCGAACCCAAACGGGGCCCCAACAGCCTGAAACACAAGGTTAGTGCGCAACCGATTACCGTTTATCGCGTGCAGCCGCTCCAGCGTCAGGTTCCATTTGCCGATATTCTCCTGACACTCGGTGACAAAATCATCATGAAATTTCGTCATGTGCATGCCGTTGCAAAAATCACAAGAAAGCGACGGATAATGGACCAGCAGCTGCTTGTGATGCACAGAATCCGTCAGCAAATGCCACCAACGATACTTATCCCCCGGGTGGCCTTTGACCAGCCCCCTGACCTTGTCCGTGTCCGCCCCTGTAACAGGGTCAACCACCCGATGAAAGGCAGAACCGCTCAGGAAAGGAGTCCTGCCGCGCTTCTCCAGCACCGTCTTCACCAGGTACTCGTAGATCATCTCCGGTGTAATGGCGGCCGGCACACTCTTCAGAAGCACTTCGATCGCATCCGGATGCGCAGCGCGTTCAGCGATGTAAAGCGGGTTCTCCGGGTGCTGCCAATCCAGGGTGATGCACACTCCGTTCAGCATCTTATGCTCAACCCTACGACACCACGCGTAGTTCGCGTCCGACGCCTGCTGGAAAGTAACTTGCAGCCGTCCGAAGCGCTTCTTCGACAACCACGCAGGTAAGAGCACCTGGCACTTCGTTGTGGTCAAGATGTGCGCCGACATGTGCTTCTTCCATAACGCCAATAAGCCCTTGACCGTGTCAATCGTCCGTTCCACCTCTTCCTCATACTTGATCGGGATCAGCAGCGTAAGCGAGAAACCCGCGCGCGCAGCAATCTCGCCAGCCTTCACTGGATCAAGACGCTCCTCCGGGTCGTCACTGAGATACCCATCGTCTTCTTCTTCTTCCTCCTCCTCCATTCCCACAGGCTCGTCCGGAGCTTCAGCAGGCGGCGTCACTTCACCTTTGTTGTCCTTCCCTTCCTCAGCAGTGTGCTCCCCATCCGCAGTGCTTTTCTCCAGAGACGGGAACTTCAGCTCGTTCAGCTTTTTCACAAGGGAGATCCGCGTGTCATCCGCGAAGGGACCACCCACATCCTTCAACATCGGCCTCGGCGTCGCTGGCTCCGAGTGATGGCTCTTGGACGCGGACTCAGGAACAGCCTTGTCCGTGACCTTGCTCCCTGGCTGAGCAGCCTTCTTCGGGAGGCGAGGCATGGTGCAATGATGACTCTGACCAGGACTGAATCCTGAGAACCTTGTCGAGAACGGGCCCGTGAAGCCTGGTAGAATTGATCTGATCACCAGACTCAAAAAGTCTCGCCGCTTGGGCCGAGCCTTCTTCCTTGGTTTCCGTTTTTTGTAGTAGTTAGCCTTGTGATGTGGCTGACCCTTGATATGAGCCGCGCGCGTTGGAATCTTAGCTCGTCCCTTGAGAACATGTAAAGCTGAGCATGGCAGGCCCGAAGCGAAAGTCCCGATATCAAACCTAGGTGCTTCAAACGGTAAAATCGGGATGCCTGACAATGAACCCGAGAATACAATGCTCGACATTTGAGCACAATGTTAGTATCCTCTTGTTCCTCTTGTCATGTAGATTCCGAAACCGTTAAAGCGACGGTGCACATTTGCCACCCAAAACCCAGAACCCTGGCGAACTGTTACTGCGGATGGAAAGTGTCCGCACGAAATCCTGGTTTTCGCCAGCCAGCACTTTCTCGCTGGCAAGCCTGGTTAAAAAAAAAAACTTCTGAACCCAACACTGCCAAAAGTTGACCGTCGCTTTAATCGTGGCGGGCGGATTGTCGATGCGAGGGTTGCGAGTGGTAACGGTGCTGACTCTGGTGCTACAGTGATGTACGCTTGATCAGGGATGCGAAGTAAGGAAAAGGAATTTTCCTTACAAGTAGCCACAACGCGACCAGTAGCCACTGCGTGTGGTATGCATCCAACGCCCGAGGTGAACCATTTTGGTCCGTCCAATCAACTACCACCGTCGTTATCTGTGACATGTGTTCTGGACTTCAGGACCCAGGTCGCTTTGGTCATTTGTGGTTACAGTACGGGCACATGCCCATCCGCTTCGCTGGCAACAGCCAATTACAGAACCAATCTGCACGCGCATCACCTCCGCTGCCACACACCCCCTTTGATGAAGCCGCTCCACCACCGCAAGATGTCTTTTAGGGCATACAAAAAAGTTCACTTCGAATGCGGCTCAGTGAGATGCTTGTTTGTTCTTCAGCAATCAAACAATTTTTAACAGTTCGGTAGGTTACAGAGCGGAAATGAACGGTCACTCTCTCACCTGCCACAACCTGTAAACACTAAACCCGTCTAAACCCGCAACTAACCCAAACCAGCATGGCATAATGCACCTCCCTGCAATTAATTAGCAGTCTACATCCAAACAGATCCCGCCTTCCCCGAGTCGAACCCTCAGTCCGCACGGTAGACACCATACGTAGCCATGAAGCCAGCTGCACACGATCCTATGGCGCAGCGCTCGGTAGAGTTTCGAGCCCTTATTCCCCGGGTATTCGTAAAGGGGGCTTCACTAGAGCGTGCTGTAGAGTCGCGCATTCTAGTGCTGCATTGCAAAAGGGAAACACGCCGAAAGTTACATAACTATGAACTGCGACTCGGTCCGCGTTCTTAATTTGCTTCGTTAATAATCTTCTCTAGATTGCCCTTCGATGGATCGATCTGCGAAACCACGAACCCGGCGACTCTCCACGACTAGAACAACGGCGCACGCGGTCGAAGCGTGGCTGGCACGTGCCATGCTCCTCCTGGTAGTCGGTGTCTCCGTCGATCGCGCCTCGTCGTGCGAACCGTCGTCCCTTCCAGGCTTCGCAAATTCCGTAGATCTGTCGGGAAACGGGTGAGTCGAATGCTGCGTGTAGCTCACTCAATCTACGTTACGAAACAAATCATAGCACCGCTCAGATTGCGGTGATGTTACCGGTCAGTCTAGTGCCGTGATATGCGGCGCCAGGTCGGTGCAATTCCTCCACTCCTGGATTTTTTAACTCAAACCCTAATTCAAACCCGTCAGGGGGGCCTAGTTTGGCTGATTCTCCCTCCATTGTTCACTCTCTTCTCTCTTGCCTATCCCCCTTCCTCCACAGACTTACGACTCCAACCCATCCCCCAACCTCCCCCTCTCTCCCCCATTTCCCCCCTCCTTCCCCTCCTGTACCCCCTACTTTCCGCCCCCCCTGTTTCCCCCCTTCCCCTCCTCCCTCCCCCAGTCTGTTTCTGCACTGGACTCTCAACGCCTCGCGCCTGCAGTTCGCGCTAGAAGCCAAACCCGCCAGTGGGGCCGAGTCCGGTTGGTTCTCCGTCGGCTGGGCGGCAAACCACGGCCGTATGTACCCCGCGGATTGCGTGATCGGAAACCTTCGGGGAAGCAGCGTGGGCGCGTACTACATCAGCGGGTACAGCCAGTCTGACGTGGCGCCTTCTGATGGGTTCTCGATTGGGACGCCTGAGTTGACAGCTGGAAGTAACGGCGGCAAAATTATGAAGTGAGTGGAGTGAAACGAGGTGATGTGACGTGGATGACACGAGGTGAGGGGAATGGTGAATTCTGGTATATCATTTTTCGAGTCATGTGAAATTAAGTGAGTTTTCGAGACGTCTCAAAAACTCACTTATTTCACATTGTGAATTCTCATCGTGGTAGATGATTTTTTTAGTCGACTCAAAAAAAGAGTAGTGTATCTCATTACCGTAGGTGGATGCGTGTATCATTGAGTTGGTGCGTTTTGCAGATCGGTAGACATGTTCCATCGAGCAGCAGGAGAAAGTTTAGCAAAGGAGAAACAGTAGTTGTAATAAAACCTAACTAATTCACGCAGTTTTGGTAGGTGGATGCGTGTATAATTGAGTTGGTGAATTCTCATCGTGGTAGGTGATTTTGAGTCGACTCATGAAAAGAGTGGTATATCTCATTATGGTAGGTGGATGCGTGTGTCATTGAGTTGGTGTGTTTTGCTGCTATCTTTCCTCACTTTCCTGCTCCTCATCCCGCGCCTCCCGTTGCTCCTCCTGCTCCTAATGCTCCTCCTGCTCCTCCTGCTCCTCCTGCTCCTCCTGCTCCTGCTCCTCCTGCTCCTCCTGCTCCTCTTGCTCCTCCTGCTCCTCCTGCTCCTCCTGCTCCTCCTGCTCCTGCTCCTCCTGCTCCTCCTGCTCCTCTTGCTCCTCCTGCTCCTCCTGCTCCTCTTGCTCCTCCTGCTCCTACTGCTCCTCCTGCTCCGCCTGCTCGTGCCCACAGGTTGTCTCGATCCCAAATGGATGGAGGGGAAGCTCCTGCTCCTGCTTCAGTGGCAGCAACATCACCACCTGGGCTCTCCCTCTCCCTGTCCTCTCACCCTCTCTCCTCCTCAAGCTGACTTTTGAGTTCCCTCTCCTTGTCCTCTCACCCTCTCCCTGTCCTCTCACCCTCTCTCCTCCTCAAGCTGACTTTTGAGTCGACTCAAAAGTCAGCTTGCTTCAGTGGCAGAAATATCACCACCTGGGCTCTCCCTTTCCTTGTCCTCTCACCTTCTCTCCTCCTCAACTCCTCTCCCTCCTTTTCCTCCCGACCTCTCTCCTCCTCAACCCCTCTCCCTCCCTCCAACCCTCTCCTGCCTGTAGGTTCTCTCGATCAGAAGGGGACGGAAAGGCAGCAGCAGCCTCATCTGGGCTTTTCCCCTTCCCTTCCCCTCCAAACCTCTCCTGCCTGTAGGTTCTCTCGATCAGAAGGGGACGGAAAGGCAGCAGCAGCCTCATCTGGGCTTTTCCCCTTCCCTTCCCCTCCAAACCTCTCCTGCCTGTAGGTTCTCTCGATCAGAAGGGGACGGAAAGGCAGCAGCAGCCTCATCTGGGCTTTTCCCCTTCCCTTCCCCTCCAAACCTCTCCTGCCTGTAGGTTCTCTCGATCAGAAGGGGACGGAAAGGCAGCAGCAGCCTCATCTGGGCTTTTCCCCTTCCCTTCCCCTCCAAACCTCTCCTGCCTGCAGGTTCTCTCGATCAGAAGGGGACGGAGGGGCAGTACCAGTCAGTTTCAATGGCAGCAACAGCCTCAACTGGGCTTTCTCTGACTCTGGATCAACTGAGCTGGCCTTCCATGGCAACAATGCGTGAGTAAGCGAGTGAGCGAGCGAGTGAGTGAGTGAGTGAGTGAGTGAGTGAGTGAGTGAGTGAGGAGAGTGGGAGCCAGTCAGCTTCACTGGCAGCTTTCTCTGAGTCTGGATCCACTGAGCTGGCCTTCCATGGCAACAACGCGTGAGTACCACCACAAGAGGGTTCAACTCATTGAATATAGACAGGCACGCGCCACACTTCAATTGATGGAGCAGGTTCAATGAATGTGGACGGGTTTATGTCATGTGTCCGATTGCACCTGACCTGACTGAGCTGGCCTTGCACGGCAATGAGGAGTGAGTACCACACGAGGTTCACTGAATGTAACCCACAGGTCACGGCATGAGCCAGATTGCACCTGACTGAGTTGGCCTTCCACGGCAACAATGCGTAAGTACCACACGAGGTTCACTGAACGTAATCGTCAGGTCACGGCATGTGGCAGACTGGGCTTGAGAGAGCTAACCGTTTTGGCAACAGAGAGTGAGTACCACCAGAGGTTCAATGAATGTAGACGGTACATCTCAGTCAGAATGCACCCAGAAGAGCTGGCATTCCATGGCAACAGCGAGCGAGTACCTCCAGAGGTTCAATGAATGTAGACGGTACATGTCATACTGCACTCGTCTTTATTTATGCCTCTGTCCTCGTGTGCCTGTCTTTTTGCCCTTATCTTCCACACCCCTGTGACTGCGCCCCTTGTCTCCCATTAGAGGTTAGATGAATGTAGACGGTACATGTCATACTGCACTCGTCTTTTTTTATGCCTCTGTCCTCGTGTGCCTGTCTTTTCGCCCTTATCTTCCACACCCCTGTGACTGCGCCCCTTGTCTCCCATTAGAGGTTCGATGAATGTAGACGGTACATGTCATACTGCATTCGTCTTTATTTATGCCTCTGTCCTCGTGTGCCTGTCTTTTCGCCCTTATCTTCCACACCCCTGTGACTGCACCCCTTGTCTCCCGTTAGAGGTTCGATGAATGTAGACTTCACGTGTCAGTCTGCACCTGCTGGCAGCAGAAGTTCTAATGATGATGATGAGGATGAGGATGATGATGATGATGAGAATGATGACAATAGTGATGATGACGAGGAGGAGGAGGAGGAGGAGGAGGAGGAGGAGGAGGAGGAGGAGGAGGAGGAGGAGGAGGAGGAGGAGGAGGAGGAGGAGGAGGAGGAGGAGGAGGATGAGGAGAAAGGGGGTGAGGAAGAGGAGGAAGAGGATGATGATGAGGAGGAGAAGAAGGGAGAGGAAGAGGAGGATTAGGAGGAAGAGGAGGATTAGGAGGAAGAGGAGCTATAACTTGGTTACGTACTTCCAAGCTTATGTTGAGCGAGGTAAAGGTTTGAGTGGATTTCGAGTTGCTCTATTGGCATCATGTTCCGAAGAAAAAAAATGCTATGGGCGATCAAGTGATACGTTATAATGTTGCCTCAGTGTCCACGGAGTCTGACGCAGGATCGGAACAGCTTTCACTGAAGTAGGAAATTTTCCATGCTACATACCGTATCACCCCGGATATAAGCGCAAGTGCGCTTAGGGTACATTCTTGTGGGGACACAAGTGTCTCAATCCCCTTTTTCCCGAGTCGCGTCGAAACATTTTGTCAATCTCGCGTCACAAAAAATGAATGTATTGCGACCAGGCCCTCAGATATCAGCGTAAAACACGCTGATTACGCTGATTTTGTAGCTCTAATTTTCGTTTTCCCTGAAGAATCAGTATATGCTTCTATTTTGCACTGTAATTTCAGTATATGTGATTTTGCCACACTGACCATTTTACGTGTTTCTGAACATGTCACACTGACAAATCACTGGAATCTTTTCACATGCGCTGTACTTACAGCTTGTGCGCTCCGAACCGTTTTGCCTCGCTGGAAGCCATCACACCAGAGAACGGTTAGCCTAGTACACAACTGCCCAATGAGAACACAGACAACACACCACTGGTGGCAGGGTCCACGCCAACACGCCATAAATTATGGCAGTGGGGTGGGGGTGTTGTCATCTTGCCTGGAAAGACCAAAACCCTGGACCAAGATCCCTCGCCATGGCGGCTCGGGAGAGGGGGTACCCCCATCTGCTCCCTCATTCTGTTCCTGCACTACTCGTAAACCCCTGCAGGAAGTGACGTTCGAACTCAAGCAGGAGTAGCTTCTCCCTCAAGCTCGGCACGCTCAGCAGAGCTGAGCAGCCATGGCGGATTCGACGCCCGCAGGTGACGGCCCTGAATCCGTCGCAGCCACGAAGCCACCCGCCCTTACTGGCCAAGACTTCTTACAACGAGCTTCAGCTGCTCCCGCGTGTCAGAGTTATATGACATAGCTACTGTAGGCTATAGTGGGGTAGCACATATGGGGTACAGTTGCCTAGGGTTTGCCTTTTGTACCCAACTTTCACTTAGTCATTTCATTCCTGTTTTTCTTAATTCACATGGTATAGAGCGGGTTCCTACATGGGACCGTTCCTTCCTAAGGGCCCACCATAAGAATTTTTTTTTTAGCTGCCCGCGCACATTGCGCCCTGCCCTAATTTTCTTTTTTTAGCGGCCCCTACGCTGCCCCTACGCGGCCCCTACGCCGCCTCCCACGCGCCCCCTATGCGGCCCCTGGCGGCGCCCTGACGAGGCCCCTGCCGGCGCCCTATCGCGGCCCCTGACGCGCCCCCTGGTGGCGCCCTGACGCGGCCCTGACGCGGCCTGACGTGGCCCCTGGCGGCGCCCTGACGCGGCCCTGCCGCGGCCCCTGGCGGCGCCCTGACGCGGCCCCTGACGCGGCGCCCTGACGCGGCCTGCCGCGGCCCCTGCCGCGGCCCTGAAGCGGCCCCTGACGCGGCCCTGACACGGCTCTGCCGCGGCCCTGACGCGGCCCTGACGCGGCCCTGCCGCGGCCCCTGGCGGCGCCCTGACGCGGCCCCTGACGCGGCGCCCTGACGCGGCCCCTGCCGCGGCCCTGACGCGGCCCTGCCGCGGCCCCTGACGCGGCCCTGACGCGCCCTGCTGCGGCCCCTGCCGCGGCCCTGAAGCGGCCCCTGACGCGGCCCTGACGCGGCTCTGCCGCGGCCCTGACGCGGCCCTGACGCGGCCCCTGCCGCGGCCCCTGGCGGCGCCCTGCCGCGGCCCCTGACGCGGCCCCTGTCGCGGCCCCTGACGCGGCCCCGCCACCTACCTTTCCGGCCACGCCGCCTCCTCTCAGCGGCCCCGCCGCCTCCTCCCAGCGGCCCCGGACGCCGCCCTCTCAGCGGCCCCGCCGAGCCGCCCAGCAGCCTAGCCGCCCAGCAGCTGAGCCACTGAGCCGCCCAGCAGCCGAGCCGCCGAGCCGCCCAGCAGCCGAGCCGCCCAGCAGCAGAGCCGCCGAGCCGCCCAGCAGCCGAGCCGCTGAGCCGCCCAGCCGCCGAGCCGCCCAGCAGCCGAGCCGCCCAGCAGCCGAGTCGCCGAGCCGCCCTGCAGCCGAGCCGCCCGAGCCGCCCTGTCCGGTAAGAGCAGCGCCTCTCTCACAGCACTGCCCTCACCCCACTGTTTGCGCTGCTAGTCTACTGCTGTCATGGCTACCCCTAGTGTCCTCGCTTTTGACGCTGAGGGTCGGGCCATTGACTTTGACGTCTGGATAGATCATCTGCAGCTTTTCTTACAGTGCGATAGGGCAGACGGCCTCTCCCTCTTTGACCTCACTTCTGGTGCCTCTCCTGCCCCCGCCACTGATGCTGACGCAACTGTTCGCTCCCAGTGGGCCACGCGCGATGCTGCTGCACGTCTTGCTGTGCGTCGCCACCTGCCTACCTCTGAGCGTGCGCACTTTAGCCAGTACAAGAGTGCTCAGACCTTGTACGACGCTGTAGTTGCACGCTACTCCTCCCCTGCCACTGCTGCACTGAGTCGCCTCATGCTACCGTACCTCTTCCCTGACCTTGCTGCCTTTCCCACAGTCGCTGACCTCATTACGCACCTACGCACTAGTGACACTCGCTACCGCGCTGCGCTTCCTGCTGAGTTCTGCGCCAAGAACCCCCCCCCCATGTACATCACCCTCTACTACATAGTCACCCGGCTCCCTGACTCCCTTCGCGTAGTCAGGGACCACTTCCTCTCAGTTTGCCCCACCACTCTCACCGTTGACCTCCTCGAGAAGTCCCTCCTAGCAGCAGAGAAGAGCATAGTAGCTGTAGGAGCCTCTCGTGGTGACCCTCGCACCCCCATCTTTGAGGGGTGTTCCCCCTCCCCCCTTTTGCCCTCTGTTGCCTCTGCTGCTGCGGCCGACCTCGTTGGGCTTGAGTCGGTCGGTGCGGCGTCTACCCCTAGCGGGAGACGCCGCCCTGGCAAGGGCAAGGGGGGCAGGGGCGCTGGAGGAGCTAGCGGGGGCGGTGGAGGCGGCAGTGGAGGCGGTGGAGGAGGTGGGGGTGGCGGTGGGGGTGGTGGCGGGGGTGGAGGTGTCGGTGGCGGCAGTGGAGGCGGAGGCGGCAGCGGCAGTGGCGGAGGGAGCGGAGGTGGCGGCGGTGGAGGAGGAGGCGGCGGAGGAGGTGGAGCTGGTCGGGGTGGCGCTGCGCAGAGGGTCGGCTCCGGTGGTGGTCAGCGCCAGCAGCAGCAGCAGCACCAGCAGCGCACTCGTGACATCCCCTCCCCTCAGCAGCTCCGTGAGTGGTACACTGCACGCCAGAGGGGTGGGGGTACTGGTCCGTGCACCTACGTCCTCCGCACCGGCGACCGCGCGGGTGAGCAGTGCGGGGGTGCGCACTCCACCCAGCGCTGCTTTGGCCGCCTGACGGACGCTTGGCGTCACCAGTTCCCTGAGGCCACTGAGATCCCCCGCTGGGGTGAGCTGTCTAGGGCGGGTGTGGCTGTCTTTGACCTTGACTTTGATGCTATTCTTGCTGCCATGTATACTGTGACTATTAGTGATGAGGGTGACTGTTACCGGTGTTTTCCGCCCGACCCGGGCATTGAGACTGCTGCTCTAGGTACTGGTGAGGCTGCTGCTCTAGGTGCTAGCGAGGCTGCTGCTCTAGGTGCGTCTGCTCCCTCAGGTGCTGGTGAGTCTGCTCTCTCAGGTTCTGCGTCGGCTTCGGCCTCCCACACCTTCACCCTTGACTCGGGGGCTTCTCGCTCCTTCTTTCGAGACCGCACCACACTCACGCCGCTTAGCCGGCCAGTTGCAGTCTCTCTGGCAGACCCCTCTGGGGGTCCTGTCCTTGCTCACTTCTCCACTGTCCTCCCGTGTCCGGCGGCCCCCTCTGGCACCCTGTCTGGTCTTTACCTTCCCTCGTTCTCTACGAACTTGGTGAGTGGTGCTGACCTAAAGGATGCGGGGGTTCACCAGTTCACTCCTGCGAGTTGGCGGGTGACCCACTACACGGACGCTCGGACAGGCCGACACCTGGCCACGTTTACCCGTCGGCCGGGGTCGAGCCTGTACACCCTGACCACTGCGTCTCCTCCAGTCACTGCGTCTGGTCAGGTAGCTGCGTCGGGTCAGGTGTTTGCTGCAGCGTCCAGGTCTGGTCCTGAGTCTGCCCCCTGTTCGTGTCGCCTCCTGTCTCACGAGACTCTCCTCTGGCACCACCGCCTTGGTCACCCCTCCCTGCTTCGTCTCCGAAGCATGGCCTCCCGTGTCCTTGTCTCTGGTCTTCCCCGGTCCCTCCCTCCCCTTCCTCCGGGGCCTGGCCCTACCTGCGTCCCCTGTGTCGAGGGGCGGCAGCGGGCTGCCCCTCACTCCTCCCAGTTTCCTCCGACAGAGGCCCCGCTGCAGACGCTTCACATGGACGTGTGGGGCCCGGCCCGCGTCCGTGGACAGGGTCACGAGCGCTACTTCCTGCTGGTGGTTGACGACTACTCGCGTTACACCACAGTCTTCCCCTTGTGCAGCAAGGGTGATGTCACTGAGGTGTTGATCGACTGGATCCGCGCAGCTCGTCTCCAGCTCAGGCAGAGCTTCGGCTCGGACTTTCCTGTTCAGCGTCTGCACTCTGACAGAGGTGGAGAGTTCTCCTCTGGCCTTCTGCGAGCCTACTGTCGTGCACGAGGCATCCGCCAGACCTTCACGCTTCCGGACTCTCCACAGCAAAATGGGATTGCTGAGCGCCGCATTGGCATGGTCATGGACGTCGCCCGTACGTCCATGATGCATGCGGCTGCCCCCCATTTTCTGTGGCCGTTTGCGGTTCGGTACGCGGCGCATCAGATCAACCTTCACCCCAGGGTCTCCATGCCGGAGACCTCCCCAGCTTTGCTGTGGACGGGGAAGGTTGGCGATGCGTCTGCGTTCCGTGTCTGGGGATCTCGGGCGTTTGTCCGCGACTTGTCTGCGGACAAACTGTCCCCTCGTGCTGCTCCTTGCGTCTTCCTTGGCTTCCCCCCTGACGCGCCAGGGTGGCAGTTCTACCACCCCACCTCTCGCCGTGTTCTGTCCTCCCAGGACGTCACGTTTGACGAGTCGGTCCCCTACTACCGCCTCTTCCCCTACCGCACTCCGTCCCTCCCCCCGCCACCGCTCTTCCTTGTCCCAGGTCCCCCCCCGGTAGACCCCCTCCCCCCTCAGGGTCCTGCCCCTTCAGGTGTGTCCCAGGTAGACGCAGTCGAGCCTGTCGAGGTTACTGGTGACTCTGGTGCTGCTGAGGGTGCTGAGCCTGGGGGTGCTGACTCTGGGGGTGCTGAGCGTGTGGGTGCTACTACTGGGGGTGCTGAGCCTGAGGGTGCTGAGCCTGGGGGTGCTACTACTGGGGGTGCTGAGCCTGGGGGTGCTGAGCCTGGGAGTGCTACGCCTGGGGGTGCTACGCCTGGAGGTGCTGAGCCTGGGGGTGCGGAGCCTGAGGGAGCTGGGCCTGCTCGTGTGGCGTCTGGCGGTGCTGAGCCTGGAGGTTCTCCGGGTGCTTCGTCTCGGCGGGAGCCACTCTCTCCACAGGAGCTGCGCGAGTGGTTTGCCCGGCGCTGGAGGCGTGCTGCTGGAGCTGGAGGTTCTTCGGCTGCTGAGGGTGCTGGTGCCGCGGGACCCGGAGGTGCTCGTACTGGGAGTACTGGAGCTGCTGGGCCTGCGGGTACGACTGGAGCTGGAGCTGCTGAGGGTGTTGGCGCTGAGGCTACTGCTGTCGGTCCTGGAGGCGGTCCTGCTGGGGGTGCTACTGGTGCTGCTGGAGGTACTGGAGCTGGAGGTGCTGCTGGCGCTGGTGCTACCGCTGGGGGTACTGGTGCTGTCCCTGCTGTGTCTGGAGTCGCCGCGCGGCCTCGGCCGTACTTCGTTCCGCTCCTTCAGCAGGTTCTTGGTCTCCCGCCTTCTACTGGTCCTCCTCCTCCCTTAGCGTGTCCACAGCCTGTCCCGTCACAGTTACAGTTACAGCCGGCCTCCCCACTGCCCGCTCCTTCTCCCTACACTGGTCCTACTGGAGGTCTTGCTGAGCGTCGTGAGCCTGCGTCTCGCCCTGCGTCGCCTGTCCGTGCTGCTCGCACTAGTGCTCGTGGTTCGCGTCAGCGTCCTCCTCCTGTCCCTGGCACGCACCGGATGTCTCTGCGTCCGTCCACTGCTCCTCTGCGTGCCCCTTTGCCTTCTCCTCCTGAGTCCTCTCTTCCTGCTCTTCCTGACCCGGAGTCGGACTCTCTTCGTGCTGCCAGTCCTACTGTCACGCGTCTCCTTGCTACTGTTGTCACTGACCCTTCCTTTGAGTCCACTGCTGCGTCTGCCCTAGTTACTGAGCTCGTCGACTTTGCTGCTCGCTGTCGTCTAGACTACGCTGCTAGTCTTGTTGCTGAGTCTGAGTCTGTCTGTCCTCCGTCCGTCGGGGGTGAGTGTGCCCTTGGCACGGACGTCCTTGAGGACAGGCAGGAGGAGTTCCAGTGTTTGGCTGCTGCTTCACCTCATCTCGTGTCCGTACTGCTTACCCCTGAGGGAGACCCGGATGCACTTGACATCCCGACTCCGCGCTCTTACGCGGAGGCGATAGAGGGTCCCTACTCCTCTCAGTGGCAGGCAGCTATGGACGCAGAGATGGCTTCCTGGAAGTCCACAGGCACCTACGTTGACGAGGTTCCCCCGCCTGGGGCGAACATCGTCAGTGGCATGTGGATTTTCAGGGTGAAGCGGCCGCCGGGTTCTCCGCCTGTCTTCAAGGCGCGTTACGTGGCTCGTGGCTTCAGTCAGCGGCAGGGAGTTGACTACTTTCAGACCTTCTCTCCCACCCCGAAGATGACCACTCTTCGGGTACTGCTGCACATAGCTGCTCACCGCGACTACGAGCTGCACTCTCTTGACTTCAGCACTGCTTTCTTGCAGGGCAGCCTGCACGAGGAGATCTGGCTGCGTCGCCCACCTGGCTTCACTGGGTCTTTTCCTCCTGGCACCCAGTGGAGCCTACGGCGGCCAGTCTACGGTCTCCGCCAGGCACCGCGTGAGTGGCATGACACACTGAGGACTACACTTGCGGCTCTTGGGTTTGCTCCCTCTACTGCCGACCCGTCGCTGTTTCTGCGCACCGACACTTCTTTGCAGCCATTCTACATCCTCGTGTACGTCGACGACTTGGTCTTTGCCACAGCTGACACTGCTGGACTCGCCCACGTGAAGTCCGAGCTGCAGAAGAGACACACGTGCACAGACCTGGGTGAACTGCGCAGCTACCTTGGCTTGCAGATCACCCGGGACAGAGCACGCCGCACCATTACCCTGACTCAGTCACACATGGTGCAGCAGGTCCTTCAGCGCTTCGGCTTCACGTACTCCTCACCTCAGGCCACTCCTCTGCCTACTCGCCACTCGCTCTCAGCTCTGCCTTCGGATGAGTCCGTAGAGTCGAGTGGCCCGTACCCAGAGCTTGTTGGCTGCCTCATGTACCTGATGACCTGCACACGACCTGACCTTGCATACTCTCTTAGCATTCTTGCACGCTATGTTGCTCCTGGGAGACACAGACCGGAGCACATGGCTGCAGCGAAGAGGGTGTTGCGCTACTTGTGCAGTACGTCGGGCATGGGGCTTGTGCTTGGAGGGCAGAGTCCAGTGGTCCTCACTGGACACGCAGACGCTTCTTGGGCTGACGACCAGGCTACGCAGCGGTCGTCACAGGGTTACACCTTCAGCCTTGGTTCCGGCTCTGTTTCGTGGCGGGCTACTCGCTCGTCTTCTGTTCTCGGCTCCAGTTGTGAGGCTGAGATCTACGCCGGGGCCATGGCTGCACAGGAGCTTCGCTGGCTCACCTACCTGCTGACTGACCTCGGAGAGCCGCCTCGTTCTCCTCCAGTGCTCTACGTAGACAACAAGGCCATGCTGGCCTTGTGTCGAGAGCAGAGACTGGAGCACAGAACGAAGCACATTGCTCTTCGCTACTTCCTTGCTCGTGAGCTACAGCAGCGTGGTCAGCTGCGACTTGCGTACGTGGCCTCTGAGGCCAACACTGCTGATATCTTCACCAAGGCACTTGCGCCTTGTGATCATCAGCGCTTCTGTACTCAGCTGGGTCTTGTACCTACCTTGCCTCACTTGCTCACCTCTTGACCTTGTTTGTACTGTTGCATATATATATACTCCTGCTCTTGCTTGTCTAGCCTTATATATATATGTAATCCTGCATGTGAACTGGCCTTATGGCCTTGAACTTGTGCTCGGAATGTGTGGTGACTTTGTGATCCACCCTGAGCTTGCTTTGCTTTGCTTGACTGGTCTTGTGACCCCTTGTTCTCCCCCACTTTGCCTATGAGGGTGTGTCAGAGTTATATGACATAGCTACTGTAGGCTATAGTGGGGTAGCACATATGGGGTACAGTTGCCTAGGGTTTGCCTTTTGTACCCAACTTTCACTTAGTCATTTCATTCTTGTTTTTCTTAATTCACACCGCGTTAGTCCCGCCATCAGCTCGTACCGTTGTTTTCCCTTCCTCGGGCCCCGAGGCACCTACCATCTGGACGCAGGGCGAGTGTTCGACGCATGTCGGCGCTGCCGCATCACCACCTGTCGCTGCCGCGTCAACTTCTGTCGCTGCAGCATCAACTCCTGCCGCTGCCGCATCAACTCCTAACGCTGTCGGATCAACTCCTGCTGCTCCCAAACCCACACGGAACCATCATCCTGTCGCTGCCGGAACTACTCGAATCGGCCCCCGTCTCAAAAGGGGTATCAAATTGAGGTACCTCCAGACAAAGATCCAGTGGGGTGCCAGTCAAGCTACGCCAACGTCTGGTGTGGGGAACTCCTCCCTGCAGGCCCGACAGCGTAAAGGGAAGGGGAAAGTGGTTGAGGTTACTTCCGATTCAGAACTGCCCGACATAGCCGAGGGAAATACCAGGAAGCCTTATCTATGTACAACAAGCAGTGGTCTGACGACTACCCGTGGCTTGTTTTGTGTCAGACGCGTGCAGGGTTCCCGTCAATGAAGTGCTCGGTCTGCATTGCGCACGCCGGTGTGGGCACGAACTTCGGCGCCAAAGGAGAAGGGGCGACCGATGTGCAGACCCAGGCAATGCGGAGGCATCAGCGCACACGGAAGCACCACCGCGCTCTGCGCAGACAGAGGACAGCTGAGGCGGCGCTCAAGGCTAATCGCCGGATTGACGATAACCCGAAGGTGAAAGACGTGGAGAAGGAGCGCCTGATCGCGCGCTTTGAGACGACACTCTTCATCGCTAAGTCCGACGCCCCGATCGAGATGTACGTGGACCTCGTCCGACATCTGGCGTAGCGTGGCACACCGGGCTTCCCAAAGAGCAGTTGTGGAGCCTACTACACTACGTAAGTGACACTGGTCTAGTACATCTCGGTGCAGATTGTGATCTATGCGAAGCAATCACTAACCACATGCGTTGATGCCCATGCAGGTACGGATTCGAAGAGATTACCGCCGTAATAGCGACATACCTTCATGCGCGCCAGAGAGACTACATTGATTCGAGTCCATTCATTGGTCTGAGCTGCGACGAGAGTACGGACCGCGTCAAAGGGAAGCACATGATTGTATTTGTAACATTTCTGCGTGAGCACGCCGTCGTCACAGAGTTTCTGACTAACCTCTCCACTGAGAAGTGTGATGCAGCATCCCTTTATGCTAAGCTCACAGGATACCTTGACAGTATCAGTCTGCCGCTGGAGAAGGTGGCGGGTATCAGCACCGATGGGGCTCCTGTGATGATAGGCAACGAAACTGGCCTCGTTGGGCGTCTTCGACTGGAGATACCGCACGTGGTGGCCTCTCACTGCATCGCACACAGGTAAAATGATGATGTGTTGGTGTCGTTGCTGTTTGATATGTGGAACGTGGTATGTTGCTGTGCGAGTTCTAACCCCTCATCTGTGCTATTGTCCCCATGGCAGGGAAGCGCTAGCAGCAAAGGAGGCGGCTAAGGCACTGCCAGAGCTTGGCATAATCGACGCGGTTATTCGCTCAGTGGCAGAAGTCCTCGGCAGATCCAGCAACTCCAATCTCAAGTTCAAGGAGCTGTAGGAAGTGTTCACTCATACCAACCTCGAGGTCCAGGGGATCCATTCCGTCCGCTGGTTGAGTCGCGGCGACGCAATCGCACGATTCATCCGCGTTCTGCCTGCTGTCATCGTTATGCTCGAGGAGACTGACGCGACGATGTACCTCCTGGTGACATCGTTCAAGTTTCATTACTTCCTGTTCTTCTTGGCAGATGTGCACACGGCACTCAACGCGCTCAACCTGCTAATCCAGAAGCGTCATGTGAGTTGTTGAGCTACGTTTTGCGGTTCTCTTCTTCCCCCAGTTACTTATATTTTGTTTCCATGAACCCTTTCTCCCCCTACCAACAGGTTGACCTCACTGTAGTGCACTCCATCATCTACATCGAGCAGGGGTACTTGAACTGTGGCCAGCAGTTTGGCGGTGGGACCAGCGAGTTGCTGTCTGCATTCCTCGCGCGGCACGCCTCGCCCGACTGCCGTGAAGTGACTGTGGAGGGGGTGGACAAGGAGGGTCAGCCCCGGGTACACACGTTTCAGCTGCACGAGGAAGCAGTGAAGGGATACACCACCAGCAGCGGGGACATGCAAGGATGTTACACCTGCTGCCGCTCATTCGCCCGCGAGCTGGTGTACAACCTCGTGCTGTGCTTGGGGGACCTGCCGCGCTTGAACGGGGCGAAGCTCTTCATGCCCCGCTCGTGGCCGGGGTGCGTCGAGGCAAGAGATGCAGAGTGCAAGGAGGACCTGCACGGCCTCGTCCATCTGTTTCAGGCCAAGAACCGGGACACGATTTTGCCTGGTGAGCTAGTCCTAGAACCCCCCTGGCCTGCATGTGTGCATGCCCGTTTCCGTGGTTGTGTTATTCCCATGTTGTGTGCTTGACTTTATACCCGGTTGTGCTCTCCCGTTTGGCAGGTGTTCAGAAGCGTGCAGCACGAGCGGAGCTGCGCACGTTTCTGCCGGTGCTCTCCACTGCCCCCAAGGAAGAGCAGCCGTTTCACGCAGGTTTAAAGGCCATCTTGCAGACCAGCGACTGGCAGACCAGCTACCCCAACTTAGTCCGTCTGTGGGCTGCGGTCGCTGTTCTACCACTCAGCACAGTCGAGTGCGAACGTGGGTTTTCCCGCCATAATGTCATCAAGTCGTGGCGCCGGACGAGCCTCTACAACGCCAAGCTGGGAGATCTGTTGGCAATGAGCCTGTTCGACTATGACATGGAGTGGGAGAAGGTGGTGGACATTTGGAGGAGCAGCAGGAAAAGGCGCCCCAGCAAGCGCAAGGAGCAACCTGCGCCAGAGAAGGAGCGGGCCAAGGCCAAGTTTGTTAAGGGGAGTGGCCGCCGGGTGCTTCAGGTGGAGAAGGAGGAGGAGGAGCTAGATGACGAGGGCATGCATGGTTCTGCAGGCAATGACAGTGAGAGTGATGACACCGGTAGCAGTGGTGATGATGCGAGCGTTTCTGATGATGACATGACATGAGCTAGTTAGTAGTAATAGATCCAGCCAAATCTACTGGTAGTTGTCAGAATATATCTTATATATATGTCTGTATAAGTGCATGTAGTTCTAGCTGTAGAGTAGTTACCTAGTGTTCTGTGTGGTGGTGCACCACTCCTTACTGGTTCTCTTCTATTTGTACCTGCTCTTCCATAGTCAAACCATCTCATTCTCTCTTCTTCTTGGCACAACCCAAAAGTTCCTCCTTGGCCTAGGCTACTAAGCCTAGGCCCTAACAAAACCCTAGCCATCACTTCTGCCTACTATTTCAACAGTAGTAATAGACTGTAGAGCCGCTGTCTGTCACAATGATAACTTGATTAAACATGGATGCATGCATTGTTGCATCAGCTCTGCTATTATGGTTTTTTTACACTGCAGGTTCAGTTTAGTAAGAATTCTTACACTGACAGGATCAGTATAAAGAAAACCACGAACGCTGATTTGGAGACCTGGTTTGCAGGGGCACGCTGATCCATCAGCATACCCTCAAACCAATCTGAGGGCCTGATCGCGACTCTAGGCGACCAGGCGAAATGTACAGTTGTGCGCATTTGATTGGGTGACACAAATGACTGTACATCCCTTTTTCCAACCGCTTGGCTGGGGTGTAGTTTCGACGCGCGGGATTTTTTCCCGCACGAAATTGGCATTGCAGGCTGTCCAGGTGCATTGACATTTCGAGCCGCCTGCGATTTTTTCACATTGACGAGACGGATTACAATTCGTCAGCGACGTCAGCGCGTTTCACGCTGACCTATAAAAAATACAGTAATGGTCGCGGAAAAGCGACTCGCAATTGGGACAGACTACAGTTTATGCTGTTTTTGTGTGTCACAAAGCGATTGAGACATTTGTGTCCCCATGGGAATGTACCCTTATAATAAAAGAGTGATTTTTAGGGGGGTGCGCATATAATTGAGTCAGATTTATAAGTGCATGCGCTTATATAATGACAATTACAGAAATATATTTTAAACTTACCAAATTGTGCATCTCAGTCTTGCAATTTCATTCGAATCGAAACATTAGAGCGTCCCAAATCAGAGAATCGCGCGAGGGCGAAATTCTGCCGCCACACAGGGGCGAGGAGACGTCACTTCGCAGAGGAATGTGTCAAGCTCGCCCCAAACCAATGTACGAGCCAGTCGCACGGAGTCGCTTGCTCGCAGCGCACAGAGGCACAGTCGTTCTCGAGCCCCCCCCCCCCCCCCCCCCCCCCCCGCCCCTTTTTCGCTCGCACAACACACATGACAGTCGTTTCCAGCGCCCCTCTTCCCTCCCCCCCCCTCCCAACGATGTGCTGTCAGTCAGTCAGCTTCGCATCGCGCCGTTTCGCTTCTCCTGCGAATTGCTCGCCCTCGAGTGAGTCAAACAAAGTAAAAACGGATCTGGACTCGCTGCAAAAAGGGAAATCGTTACTGTTTTAATCACGATTTAATAGTAGAATTATTGATGCGCTTATAATAAGTCAAGTTTTTACAGGGGGTGCGCTTATAATCGAGGATCGACCATAAGCGCATTGCTCCAAATATAAGCGCATGCGCTTAACATAGGCCTGCGCCTATATCCGGGGTGATACGGTATGTACATTTTTTTGTTACTCATATTCTGTGCTCTTACGTACCTTAAAACTGTCAGAGGTCCACTGGTGATCCTCGATTGATCCTAGGGAAGGGGTACAGGCACGTTGGCATGAGGGTTATGGGCGCACTTACCCGCTACACAAACACGCCCTTTTATCCCAGTGGTTAGTGGCTGGGATTCTGACATGGTATCAGAGCGTTCTCGGGTTCGAATCCCAGTCTGTGTGCACTTCGGGCATCCCAGTGCGGGGGGGTGTCAGAGGTCCACTGGTGATCCCCGATTGATCCTAGGGAAGGGTTACAGGCACGTTGGCCTGGGGGGTTATGGGCGCACTTACCCACTACACAAACAAGCCCTTTTATCCCAGTGGTTAGTGGTTGGGATTCTAGCAAACACTCACTATGCGTTCTTGTTTTCGTATCTATCTCTTTGTCACTGCAACAAGAGCTTGGTGGAATTGTTAGGGCGGGTCCAGCGCGTATGTTTACAAGCACTATACAGTTCATTTGTCGCGGTTTGAAAAGATATCAAGCGGTGCACAGCGGTTTTGAAATTACACCGTTTTGAACTGTGACGCAGTACAGATTACCGCACTGGATGAACTGTAATATACGGAAAACGTACGCGCTGGACCCGCCCTTAGTTCCGTGTAGGATTAGAATATACCGTATTCTCCTAGACCCTGACTTGATAGGGTATCGAATCTGTGGTCCCTGATTTTGACCTTATCGAGACAAAGTTTCTCGGAAATTTCCTTCCGATATCCCCCTTCGGATTGATCGCAGTACAGCCAGTGCGTCAGCGACGGACAGCAGCATGTCTGACAGTCGAGTCCACTCGATGCTTGTTACTTTCACGAGTTGTGAATATGTTGTTCTACTGCCGTAATTGCGTGTGCGTGAAGTTACCAGATTTTTTTTAGCGTTTCGCACAGCGATGTTGGCGACATTCAGGTACTCGGCGAATAAAAAACTTGGCACATCTTGTGAAAGAACGAGGAATGTGTGCACTAGGAAACAGGTGGGTACAAGTAGGAAAACCTAAAAGTGTTGTACCCCATATTGTCTACCCCACTACAGCCTACACAGACTATAGCATATAAGTTTGACACACCCCCATAGGCAAAGTGGGGGAGAACAAGAGGTCACAAGACCAGTCAAGCAAAGCACAGTAAGCTCAGGGTGGATCACAATGTCACCACACATTCCGAGCACAAGTTCAAGGCCACAAGGCCAGTTCGCATGCAAGATCATATATAAAGGCAAACAAGCAAGTGCAGGTATAGATAGATCACAGTACAAGAAAGGTCAAGAAGTGAGCAAGTGAGGCCAAGTAGGCACAAGACCTAGCATCGTACAGAAGCGCTGATGATCACAAGGCGGAAGTGCCTTGGTAAAGATATCAGCAGTGTTGGCCTGAGAGGCCACGTAAGCAAGGCGCAGCTGACCACGCTGCTGCAGCTCACGAGGAAGGAAGTAGCGAAGAGCAATGTGCTTCGTTCTGTGCTCCAGTCTGTGCTCCCGACACAAGGCCAGCATGGCCTTGTTGTCTACGTACAGAACTGGAGGAGAACGAGGCGGCTCTCCTAGGTCAGTCAGCAGGTAGGTGAGCCAGCGTAGCTCCTGTGCAGCCATGGCCCCCGCGTAGATCTCAGCCTCACAGCTAGAGCCGAGAACAGAAGACGAGCGGGTAGACCGCCACGAAACAGAGCCGGAACCAAGGCTGAAGGTGTAACCCTGTGACGACCGCTGCGTAGCCTGGTCGTCAGCCCAAGAAGCGTCTGCGTGACCTGTGAGGACCACTGAACGCCGCCCTCCAAGCACTAGCCCCATGCCCGACGTACTGCACAAGTAGCGCAACACCCTCTTCGCTGCAGTCATGTGCTCTGGTCGGTGTCTCCCAGGAGCAACATAGCGTGCCAAGATGCTAAGAGGGTATGCAAGGTCAGGTCGAGTGCAGGTCATCAGGTACATGAGGCAGCCAACAAGCTCTGGGTACGGGCCACTCGGCTCTACGGACTCATCCGAAGGCAGAGCTGAGAGCGAGTGGCGAGTAGACAGAGGAGTGGCCTGAGGCGAGGAGTACGTGAAGCCGAAGCGTTGAAGGACCTGCTGCACCATGTGTGACTGAGTCAGGGTAATGGTGCGCTGTGCTCTGTCCCGGGTGATCTGCAAGCCAAGGTAGCTGTGCAGTTCACCCAGGTCTGTGCACGTGTGTCTCTTCTACAGCTCGGACTTCACGTGGGCGAGTCCAGCAGTGTCAGCAGTAGCAAAGACCAAGTCGTCGACGTACACGAGGATGTAGAACGGCGGCAAAGAGGTGTCAGTGCGCAGAAACAGCGACGGGTCGGCAGTAGAAGGAGCAAACCCAAGAGCCGCAAGTGTAGTCCTCAGTGTGTCGTGCCACTCACGGGGCGCCTGGCGGAGACCGTAGACTGGCCGCCGGAGGCTCCACTGGGTACCAGGAGGAAACGACCCAGTGAAGCCAGGTGGGCGGCGCAGCCAGATCTCCTCGTGCAGGCTGCCCTGCAAGAAAGCTGTGCTGAAGTCAAGAGAGTGAAGCTCGTAGTCGCGCTGAGCGGCGATGTGCAGCAGCACCCGAAGAGTGGTCATCTTTGGGGTGGGAGAGAAGGTATGAAAGTAGTCAACTCCCTGCCGCTGACTGAAGCCTCGAGCCACGTAACGCGCCTTGAAGACAGGCGGAGAACCCGGCGGCCACTTCACCCTGAAAATCCACATGCCACTGACGATGCTCGCCCCAGGTGGGGGAACCTCGTCGACGTAGGTGCCTGTGGACTTCCAGGAAGCCATCTCTGCGTCCATGGCTGACTGCCACTGTGAGGAGTAGGGACCCTCGATCGCCTCAGCGTACGATCGAGGAGTCGGGATGTCTTGTGCATCCGGGTCTCCCTCAGGGGCAATCAGCGTGGACACGAGATGAGGCAAAGCAGCAGCAAAACACTGGAACTCCTCCTGCCTGTCCTCAAGGACGTCCGTGCTAAGAGCACACTCACCCCCGACGGACGGAGGACAGACAGACTCAGACTTAGCAACAAGACTAGCGGCGTAGTCTAGACGACAGTGAGCAGCAAAGTCGACAAGCTCAGCAACCAAGGCAGACGCAGCAGTGGACTCAAAGGAAGGGTCAGTGACAACAGTAGCCAGGAGACGCGTGACAGTAGGGCTGGCAGCACGAAGAGAGTCAGACTCCGGGTCAGCAAGAACAGGAAGAGAGGACTCTGGAGGAGACGGCAACGGGACACGCAGAGGAGCAGTGGAGGGACGCAGTGCCATCTGGCGTGTGCCTGGGACCGCAGGAGGACGCGGACGCGGAACACGACTACTAGTGCGAGCAGCACGAACAGGCAACGCAGGACGAGACGCATGCTCACGACG